TCAGTTTGGACGTCGCTGACAGGCGCCACTGGTCAATTGAGAAGACCCTGACTGGACAAAATCTGACTGTGGCCTCGGAGGGATGTGTCTACCTCCCTACGTACGTACTGTAGAGAAAAGGGAGAAATGCACTGGGCTGAACGAGTTGAGAGCGGTCTGCGTACCGAAATTGGGACCTCGGAATGCGTAAATGCTCGCCTCAACATTGGATCTGTAATTTTGGATCGGAATGGATCCTATACGGCTGCTCTGTTTCTCGGCGCCGTGGAAAAGCGGACTCGATTCGGAGCGTCAGCAGCGGAGCAAGACACTTACAGGGCATGGTTTTTTATTTTTTTTCGCGGCTGGGGGAGACAAAAAAAGCTACTAGCTATCAGTACCTTTGTCCTAAGTGACAAAAAGGACTTGGGTAAGCTTAATATTTCTACCAGGTTTCTAGACCAGTTTATTTTGGCACCCTGGTCTATTACCTCGAGGTGCACAACAAGGGGGGAAAAGCCATGGATCGATCTAGGCGTTGAAAAGCCTAGCCCAGGAGGACGCGAAAAAAGGGCGCAAAAATATGCCGTGAACCAGGAATTCATCTTCCTCAGGCGGCTAAGGCTGGGGCTTACTCGAAACTTGGCTTCCATCAGTCAGTCATTTCAAGTCAGTCAATCAGTCAGTAAGTCAGTCATGTCCACTCACACCTCAGCATCAATTGGTGATAGCGTATTACCTGAAGCCCTGCCCTGAGCCCTTAGTACATGGCGCCCTGTGAAATGTAACAAGCCAGTCAGTCAGGCCAGTCAATTCCTCTGCTTCTGACCCGTGCTAGTAAAATTTCTTTGGCAATGGCAACAGGACTCCATTTTTTACCCGCTCCTGGCACGGCAAATCGCCCATCGTCCTCTTAATTTAGGGTATCTCAGGGAACGGCCCCCCCTAAATTTCATCCCGTTCCTTGTCGTCGTTGGCCCCAACCTGAAAGTGACCTCCGCCCAGAGTCGGCCGGTACCTTTTTTTCGCTGGCGTCTTCCTTGGAGCGTCAGGTATTCCCGTCAATTTTCGTTCATTTCCACCTGCATTTTTTTCTCTTTCCGTTCTCGCTGGCTTCGCGCCGATTAACAAGGCTTACCTTATTAATAAATCAAAAAGACGGGACCCGAGGCCACCCTCGTCTGTCTCTTTTTCTCACTGCCTCAAATAATTGCCTCGCCCTTCTCCAGCCCTTTCTTTGTTTTGTTTTGTTCTGTTCAGTGTTTTTAGTTGTTTCTTCTAAAACAATCTACAAAGCATCTGTACACCCTTTATCCCTCCCCCCCCTTGTCCCTGTCGAGCAACTTTGTCTCAGACCTTGATCTGTACTGTACTGTGCTGTACATAGAGTTACACTACAAAACGGTGCCGTACTCGTGCCCGCCCTCGGAGAACGTCATATGCAGCAGTCTCCACGCGCAATAAACAGAACAGCGGCTCACACACCCACAACAATCCATACACCCACCTACACAACACAGCACAGACGCCACCCTGAATTGAGATTGGGGAAATCCTGCAACTTGGGAATCAGCCGCCTTTTCTACTCCTCTTCTAGCTTCTACTCAAAAGCCCAGTCCGGCCCGGCCCTGCATTGCATCTCACTTCTGCCATCGACCCATATCAAAGCACCCTCACGCACAAAGCAACCACCCCAACCAACAACCTACTCTAAACTATTCCAGTTGACGATGTTTGTCTTGCTGTTATAGCACCACTGTCCTCAGGGACACTTTTAACCGCCACCTTTGACGCTGCTATTGCCCAGGCAACAACACAACTGCAACGTCCTGTACCTCAACTACTATACGACACATACACGCCTTCTCGACTATTTCAACAACTATTATCCTAAGCTCCCGATCAAACCCCACACTCTATCGACCAATATGACGACCAACATGACTACCAATAACCCAGACACCCTATGGGTGGCTCATGGTTCAGAAGAGCTCGAGGAGGCCGACGAACCGCCTGAGATAACCCTTAAGAAACAGCAGTTTACTGCCAACGATTTCCAGCGAACTACCATTCGACCTCCCACTGAAAAGTCCTCTCTGTTGACCAAGGCTATCAATGGAAACTCAGACGACGACCTCTACACTCCCCAGACTATCTCACGACCCATGGCCAACACCCAGCGACGCCGCTCCCTTGTTAGCAACATCAGCCTCGCTTCGACCGCCGATCTCACGAGCGATACTGGTTTTACTAGCCCTTCAAGACCGAACACACCAAGCCCTCCCCTTCCTGAAATGGCCATGCTACGCTTGCACGATGGACGTGCTGCCGAGCCTACACATGTTTCTTTGCTAGGTGCTGCTGTCAGGTTACAGCAAGGCAAGACTGAGGAGCCTCGCAAGCGAAGCATTCAGTTTGCATGCGGTGCCAAGCCCGTGGTCCAGGAACAACCTCCTCGATCCCAACCTATGGCCAAGGCGCCTTCTGCTCAGGAAGCTCCTCGCAAGTCGTGCATCAAGTTTGCATGCCCAGCTCGACCCGCTTCTACCCAGAACACTCCTCCCCGGTATACTGAGAACTGCGCTAAGAAGGACGCAACTCCAAAGGCTGAATCTCCTTCAACCCCCAAGCGAATGTCAGCACTGGCGTTTGCTGCACCCCGCCAGGTCACACCTCGTCGACACTCGATGTCGCGTCCTCGATTTCTCCGTGCCGATTCCTCTGACCTTGTCACGGACAGTTCACAGTTCCACGAGTTTGCTAGTGGTATCACTCGAGAGGACGATTGGATCCGACGCGATAGCAATGCTGTTGCAACCAAACTGACAATCAATGACACTCTGACCAAGGAGAACAACATTCGACGCCTGGCTACCGAGGCAGAGGAAGAGGCCCAAGAGGAAGAAGACGAGCTTGAGGATGAAGAGGATGCTGACGTTGACGACGAGGATGATGAGGACGGGGATGAAGATGAGGATGAGGATGACGAACTCGATGTTGAGCTCGACGAGGATGATGAGGAGGACGAGGAGGACGATGACGACTCTGACGGCTATCACACCGATGAAGAGACTGGCTTCGCTGACTCTGATGAGGATGATGAGGACGATGATATGCGTCTCTGGACTCCTGGAGCCAAGTCTGTGGTTCATATCGGATCGGGTGCTACTCTCATGCGCCGCCCTTCTCTTCACGAGTTGCAGTCTGACTCTTCTATCACTACCGTAGACAAAGAGCGTGCCAACCGTCGCTCAAAGCGCGTCAGATATGCTGAGGAGGCTCCTGATCTTCCTGATAGCACTGACTTTGTCTGCGGTACACTGGATGAGGACCGTCCTCTCGAGGAAGCCTACCTTTCTTGCCTCGCAGCTCGACGAAATGAAAAGCTTCGCGTCATTCCTCAGGACATCGACCCCAGTTTCCCTGCCTCTGAGCCTGAGGAGGAAAACGAGGGTGAGATCTTCAACCCTGTTCACCACTCGAGTGACGAGGATGATGAGTTCTTCCAGGGCAAAATGGAGGACCTTCATCAGGAGCGTGACCGCCCTCGTCGCCGTCGCAAGAGCGAGCATGCATCTCCCAAGCGATTCCGCTCTCCTCCCCCAAAGCGTCATCACTCACCCCCTCCCAAGGTCCGAGGCCGATCACCCAAGCCTTTGTTTGACCGTCAATCCCCTCGAAAGGCCAAGTCCCCAGCTCCTATGCGGAAGCCCATCACCACCCCTCTTGGATCTCCTCGCTGCGGCCAAGTCAATTTCAACCTGGCTGGTCGCCCTGGGCTTACTCACACCAAGTCTCTTCCTCGTGGCGGTGCAATGTGCCACCAGCGAAAGCAGGCCCGACACAAGGTCAAATACGACAACGATACCCACATTCGTGGTGCTATCGATATCGTCAAGGGTCTAGAGAGTAAGCGTCAGCGACGCAAAGAGAAGTTCCACCAAAAGTACTGCAACCGCGCTCGACGAGGCCAGATCCCCGAGCGCAAGCCTGTTCCCGGTCGCGGCACGGAACGCATGAGGGAACTCGGCCTTCTCATGGCTGGCAAGAAGGACCAGACCAACTATGTCCTTTCCATCTAAGCATGCTTGACTGTCCTTGCAAGAGAACATCGATGCTTTCAATTTAGACTGCGAGACACGTTACGACGAAGATGATACATCTTACACGATTTAACTTGATGACTCAAATGTCCTTTCTTACACCTTCTCGGCTAGGTCTCCGAGATTGTTTTACTGTATATACTGGTAATGGACCCCCGGATGCTCGCAATGTTCGAGATTTCCTGTACATATTTTTTCTATTTTTTTCTTTGTCATACTGCATAAAGCGGCCGGACAACGCTCGCTACTGGCGGAAAGGAGCTTATTTTGAACTGCTTGGATACCCGATACAGCATTTGGTATTACTGGGGTACATGCTCGGCGTTGGATGAGAGGCTATCATGACATAAATGCATTTAGCGGAAATATCAATCACGACAATGATTCTCTGCCATATATTAATGGTCGCTTCCCGTGATATAAAATAATTGGATGAATAAGACTACACGCAATTAATCACACTTACCAACATCATTGACTTAAGTCTCGCTGACCATCGGGGATGTCACTAGCTGGTCACTTTGGTGTAAGTGAGTCCTCGAGACACCACAATTTGGCAATGAAACTGCGAATACTCCTGTAGTAAAGGACAAGTAAACATAGAATATTCTTATGCGTACCTAAATATACAATTTTTAGCCACTCTTCTTGTTTGTGCCAGCTGACCTGCAGCTCGGGATTCGAGGGACGGAACTGTACGGCGTGACATGCACGACGATATATGTGCCTTGAAATTCAGGCACCATTTCGGCGTCCCTTTCTTGCCAGCTTTTGGTTCAATGCAACGCCTCCTAACAATCCACCAGCAGCTACATTCCACGACGCCAACGATAACGACGACTCTTTTTCTCCAGTGCAAGATAATAACACCACAACCTTTTATTTCAGCCTAATACTCACCTTTAATACTCACACAACATGTGGATTGTCAACTGGTGTATGTAACCGGTTACGATTAAACAACTGGTGACTTGAATGGGCTGACACGTGCTGCGTATAGTCTATGATGTGCTGTCCTCCTTGGGACTGCTCAACAAGCACGCAAAGCTGCTCTTCTTGGGTCTCGACAATGCCGGAAAGACTACTCTGCTTCACATGCTGAAGGTACGTCGACACAATGCGGTTGGATTGTTGGGTGGATGGTTATCAGCTCAGATACTTGTTACCAGCGGTGGCGGTTTTGGAGATATATGACGACTAATGATGGATTTACAGAACGACCGTGTCGCTATCCTCCAGCCCACTCTTCACCCCAGTAAGATCCTCTGTGAAAGCATCGACAAGGCGTTTATACTGAGACATCACAGCATCCGAGGAGCTTGCCATCGGCAACGTTCGATTCACCACCTTCGATCTCGGCGGTCACCAGCAGGGTATGCCAATACACCACACCTTCAACTCCGCAAATATGTCTAACAAATTTTATAGCCCGACGTATCTGGCGCGACTATTTCCCCGAGGTCAACGGCGTTGTCTTCCTTGTCGATGCCAAGGACCACGAGCGATTCGGTGAGGCCAAGGCCGAGCTCGACGCCCTCCTCTCCATGGAGGAGCTTTCCAAGGTTCCCTTCGTCATTCTCGGCAACAAGATCGACCACCCTGATGCTATCTCTGAGGACGAGATGCGACACCAGCTCGGCCTTTACCAGACAACCGGCAAGGGCAAGGTCCCTCTCGAGGGTATCCGACCTATCGAGCTCTTCATGTGCTCAGTGGTTATGCGACAAGGCTACGGCGAAGGTATACGCTGGTTGTCGCAGTACGTATAGAGAGGAGTAGGGAAGACGGATGGGATTGAAAGAAGTGAGGCAGTGAGCTAGAGAGGTATACCTTACGTCAAGTCCTTTTGGGGAGAGGTAGAAAGGACAAGTGATTTCCAGTGTTATGAGACTCAGAATTCTTCCTTAGGCGAACATTGGTCCTGCAATTCTACTATATTTACTTGCTACAAAATCGAGCCGAGCTTCATATCGGGAATGCTCCTGAAGATGGAAAAATCAGACCCCTGGTCTTAAGTGCTAGGGTGTTTTACAAGGGGCGGCTGTGCTCATGAACGACATTATTGTGCCTAGGTAGGCGTCGTCGGAACACATATCATGATGCGTGATGCAACTAGTTTAATCGTAGCTAAAAGAGAAGGTGGCAAGAATTAGAGAGAGATTATGCGTTTACATCTCATGATTAGCGCTCGTGGGCTCATCCTAATCGCTGTAGGTGGTGATACCAGGTGTTCGATAGAGGCCTCGGTTCGCCAAGACGGACTGGTATGGATCCCCGGGAAATGTACCTCTGTACAGTTTCCCCAACGAATCTACGTCATGTTACTAGAATCGTCACAAGGCAACCCAACAGAGCTTCGCATCATAGTAATCAATTTCTCCCTTAACCCGCTGTAACATCTCACGATTTCAGGAAATCCGACTTATTTCTCTCTCCTGTCAGCAATGGGTTAGAGATCATAGCATAAAATCGATCGCAATGTCGTCCTCGTCGTATTCCTCACTACTGCCTCGCGATCCAGTCTATGGATTTCCACCGGAATCTTTCGACCCCTCCCTTCTTCCTGATGTCGACACTGAATTCGTCGATACGCAAGACTTGGAAGCCTTTGAGAAGGCGCTCCAGGCTCCTGATCCGCTTCAGAGTCCAGCCGATGAAAACGGTGCTCGGTCGCCACGCAGCCCGAGTTCGTTCAGTGTGACAAAGAGGCCTTCGCAGGTCGAATCTGGCCTTGCGGATGATGTAGCTGCTGTCGCTGCCGCCGCGGACGCTGCTTCTGGAGATCTTCCTGTTCCGCCGACACCAAGTCAAGGGACTTTTATCACGGCGCAGAACGATTGGGCGCCCGTCAACGAAAAGATCTATAGCCGTCGGCGTGGTTCGAGGCGAAGCAAGAGAAAGCGCAGGGGTGGAAAGGGGGCTGTTGAAGGTCTTCTAGGGACCCGCACCAAGGACGAGACTCGAGAGGGATATCTATATCAACTTTCAAAATGGCCTCTGCTTTTCTTCGTGTTTGCGTGGCTGGGCGGACTTGTCGTTGCCTATCTCTCGACAAGACTATACATCTGGGTGTACGAGCATTTTTTCACATGGCGCGGCCAGCGAGAAAGACTCCGACGAAATTTGCGAAATGCGTCGAAGTATGACGATTGGGTAAGCGCCGCAAAGGAGCTCGACAACTACCTTGGCCGACAAACATGGAGGGAAGAGAACGATTTCGCATACTACGATTCCAAGACCGTTCGAAGAGTTTGGGAGCAGATGAAGAAGACAAGATTGCGCGCTGAAGAGCAAGAAAGCAAGGGCGAGAAGGGTGATGGAGGTAAAGCGGTGGATGAGCTGAAGACCTTGATCGAAGCTTGCGTGAAGAATAACTTTGTTGGCGTTGAGAACGCAAGGTTGTACAGCCAAACGTACTATGGAACCAAGAATCTGGTACAGAATTTCCTCGATGAAGGTGAGTTCCTAATGCCCCAGCTAGAGACTCCAAGATTCTAACCTGAAGCAGAGGAGAAGTGCATCAAATTTCTTATAAACACCAAACAACTTGAGATGGAGCAGAAGCGAGTTCTGTTCAAGCACGTCTATGCGAACTACGGAAGAACAGCTCTCTGTCTCTCGGGAGGCGCAGCCTTTGCCTACTATCACATTGGTGTTGTCCGAGCTTTGCTCGATGCGGATCTGCTCCCAGATGTCATTACAGGTACCAGTGGTGGTGCTCTAGTAGCTGCTTTGGTGGCCACTCGAACGAATGATGAGCTTAAGCAACTTCTTGTGCCAGCGCTTTCTGAGCGGATCAACGCCTGCCGCGAACCATTTACAGTCTGGATTCCTCGATGGTGGAAGACTGGAGCTCGTTTTGACTCCGTTGACTGGGCGCGACGATGCGGCTGGTGGACACATGGCTCCTTGACATTCCGAGAAGCTTATGAACGAACAGGTCGCATTCTCAATGTTACCTGTGTGCCAGCTGACCCCCATTCGCCGACGATTCTTTGCAACTACCTTACAAGCCCCGATTGTGTTATCTGGTCGGCGGTGTTGGCATCGGCCGCTGTACCCGGAATTATCAACCCTGTCGTCCTCATGATGAAGACTCGAGACGGTTCGCTAGAGCCGTACTCTTTTGGCCACAAGTGGAAAGATGGCAGTTTGCGGACAGATATTCCCATCAAGGCCTTGAACACACACTTCAACGTCAACTTTACAATTGTCAGCCAAGTCAACCCACACATCAATCTTTTCTTTTTCTCTTCTCGAGGCTCAGTTGGTCACCCAGTCACCCATCGCAAGGGGCGTGGATGGCGAGGTGGCTACCTGATGTCCGCGTTTGAGCACTATCTCAAACTGGATATGAACAAGTGGCTCAAGTTTATCCGCCATGCCGAGTTGTTGCCCCGGCCTCTTGGTCAAGACTGGAGTCAGCTTTGGCTTCAACAATTCAGCGGTACTATTACGATTTGGCCAAAGTCGAGGATTTCAGACTTCTGGCGCATTCTATCAGATCCCGATCCCCATCGACTATCCCGTATGATTCACGAAGGAAAGCAAAGTGCTTTCCCCAAGCTCAAGTTTATTGAGAACAGACTCAAGATTGAGCGACTGGTTGAACGTGGACGGTCTGATTCAAGACCATGGGTGCGTCGGGGTAGCATTCAAACTATTCTCAGCGAAGAGGATATCAGAAACATTCTGGCGGAGGAGATGGGCAATGGTGCAACTACAGAGGACGAGACCGACGTGGAAGATCTCAGTGGTCTCGGTCTTGGTATGACGACACTCGACGAGAACACTCTTTACGAGGAGCCCGGAGAGAAGAGTGACTCGGAGGTTAGCGGTTGAGCTGAGTATCGTGTAAGATGGATGGGAGTGGATATAATACGAGCAACATTGGATGTCTCTAGATTTGTAGCATAGCTTCAAGGTTGCTTTATAGGTTTGGGTCTGAAAATTGGATTGGGACTGGGAGGAGCAAGTAGATCATTTATCATTATAAGCGTCTTTAATATACATCAAGCGTTTCATTTGTCAAATTATATGGCCGGATGGTCTTGATCCTATTCAAGTAATATATAATTCAGTTGCTCCGTTCTGTTAGTTGGGCTCGAAATAGAATAGAGTTGGGATTGGCGCTAGAAGGTCATAAACTGCAGGGCTGAGTGCACTAAGAAACAGTGGCTGTCCTTTCTAAAATTGTTTAGGTCCAGTAGCTAGGGTCCTCTGTGCTGAGAACACGGTGGCGCGTACGGCAAAGGAGCCATTCAGTGCAGGCGGCAAGTGGGGAGTGAGATAATCCGATCACCGGCAGCCGTCAACCCGCCCGCTTCCTACTCCAACCCAAGGTCGACCATGGGAAATGCGCTGCGTGGCCGTAACTCGTTAGTAGTAGACGACAGTTGGACTCTCCACGACACCAGCACTTTTCTTCAACTTTACATTCTCACACCAACAAGCACAATATTATCTGCCAGTAAAATACACTCTTTTGGGGCAGAGAACTTGTTCTTGATTTTGTAAAGAGCGTTCTCTTTATTTTATCTTTTGTGTGTCTTTGTTTCTATCGTCTTCTATACATTGATTGATCGGTCGCCTCGACTTGTGGGCTACGTTTCCCCTCGAGCTTGCTTTGAGAGTAGCCCTGGGGCTCTCTTCAACCCGTCGAGATGAGTTCCGACTACTCTTATGACGAGCAGGTAAGAATGGGCAATGTCTCTATGCTTCGACACCGGCTAACTCGAACCAACAGGGCCAGTTCTTCCCCTTCTTTATCCTGACCCTCACTGGCATCGTCACTGTTCCCCTTACCTACACACTCCTTCGCCCGAACCGCGACCAAGATGCGCTTGCGCCACGGATCAAGACCAACTACAAGTCAGAGCATGCGGCTACTGTCGAGTCGCTCAAGTCAGCGCAGAAGCGTAGCCAATGGAGGGTCAAACGGGTTATCTTCGTGATAATCGGCTGGGCCCTCATGGCTGGCATGGCCTACCTGATCATGGTTACCCAGCGAACTGTCCCAAAGCTTTGGAACCCTTATGATATTCTAGGCATCTCAGAGGTAAGCTTCGCGACAACAATTTCGTGCTCAAGTGACATTGCTGACACAACACTACAGTCTCTCAATGAGAAGCAAATCAAGTCGCACTACAAGCGACTCTCCCTCAAGTTCCACCCCGACAAGGTTCGACCTGACCCAGCCAAGAACGAGACTGTTGAATCCCTCAACAACTTCTACGTCGAACTCACCAAGGCCTATCAAGCGCTCACCGACGAAGACGTCCGCAACAACTACATCCAGTATGGCCATCCCGATGGAAAGCAGAGCTTTAGCATGGGAATTGCTCTTCCTCAGTTTATGGTCTCCGACGGCAACGGCAAGTATGTCGTTCTTCTGTACACTATGCTTCTTGGAGTTCTTCTGCCCTGGCTCGTTGGATCATGGTGGTATGGTACCAAGAGGATGTCAAAAGAAGGTGTCCTGATGGAGAGCGCCAACAACCTGTTCCGACAATACGACGACGAAATCGAGGAGGGCGGCATCATCACTGCTCTCAGCGCTGGCAAGGAGTTCGAGGACATCCTGAAGGGCGATAAGGGCGAATCTGGTCTTTCCAAGATCGAGTCACGAATCACAGCTGAAAGTGAGGTCGGGCCTACTGCTTCTGGCATGTCGCTCAAGGACAAGGAGGCTCTCGAGGATCTTGACAACGGTGTTCGACGAAAGGCCCTCGCCCTTCTCTGGGCTTACCTCGGCCGTGTTGAGCTCGACGACCCTGCTCTGACCAAGGCCAAGTTCCAAGTTGGCCCCATTGCCCGCGCACTCAACCAGTCCTTCAACGCCATCACTCTCGCCTACGGAAACATTGGTCCTATTGCCAACTCGTTCTACACCAGCCAGAACTTGATCCAAGCTGTTGCACCCCATGCCTCTCCTCTTCTCCAGCTTCCCCACATCACTCCCGAGATCGCTCGTGCTATCGAAGGTGACTCTAAGACACACATGCCTGTCCACCGATTTATGGATCGACCAGACGCACAGCGCAGACAGCTTGCTGTTGGAAAGGGCCTCCTGACTGAGGAGCAGTACCAGACCGCGATTGGTGTCGCTAAGCAGATTCCCTTCTTCCGTGTATCCAGGGCCTTCTTCAAGGTTACTGGCGAGCGCTTTATTATCCCCTCGTCACTGGTTTCTCTGGTCATCAAGGGCCGCTTCATTCCTCCTGGTACTGAGAACATTCCCCCTGTCAACGAGCTGGATCTCGAGGACATTGACCCGGCCGAGGACGATATCGAGGCTATCAACGGACGCAAGAAGAAGACGATCAAGGGCCCTGACGGCAAGCTTATTCCTATCGAGGAGGAGTCAATCCTGCCCCCTCTGACACACGCCCCCTACTATGCCCGTGATCACTCTCCTCAATGGCACGCTTTCCTTAGCGACTCCAAGCAAGGCAAGATGGCTGTTCCTCCTTTCCACTTCGCCAAGTTCGACCAGCCTATTATCGATGATGAGGGCAAGCCTACTTTCAACATGCAGACTCTCAAGGCTCAATTCGCTGCACCTCCTCAAGCTGGTCACTACACCTTTGTTTTGCATGTTATCTGCGACTCCTATGTTGGCTTCGATACCAAGATGGAAGTAACTTTGGTAGTTGAGGAAGCAAGCAAAGCAGCCGAGATGCAAGCCGAGGACGAGATCAGTGAGCCTGAAGAGGGTAAGTCTCAACTGCAAATCAAATTATTGAATGTTCCTGCTAACAACCTTTCAGATTCCCTCGCTGGACAGATGCACGTTCTCAAGACTGGTCAAACCCCCAAGACCCGTAGAAGGGATTCTGACGACTCTGAGGATGAGAGTGGGACAGATGAGGAAGAGGATGACACCAGTGCAACAAATACCGATACTGAGGACGAGTCATAACGGCCTACCAGTCTCTCTTTGTGGATATAAAAAAAGTACTGTAATCACTAAATCATGATCGAAACCCCTCTCAGGAGCATGATGTGTGTATACGGAAGCGATATAATCCTTGTGTATGTATGTATTAGGAAGGGAGGGAGTCTGGAGGAAGATGACAAACACTTTAAAGCTTGGGCATTTGTTTCTCCATTCAGAAACAAGTTAGGAGTTTAGGGGTTTCTTTAAGGCACACACTCAGTATATAACCCTTTCTTGTTGTGCTTCTTCTCATTCAACTTCAAATTATTTCCACAGCCGGCTTGTTTTTCAAGCACCAAGACACCTTTTCCAGTTTCCATCTCAGCCTCCAGTGAGCCAAAACACCCGTATTGGAGCAACTATCGTATAATATAACAAGCGCCCGGATTAACATTCTCGTTCCCCTTTGAAACAGTGCCCGTGAGGCTACGTTCTTGTTTCCATACATTATGTACGCTTATTGTATCGCTTCTTTCAGATTCTCAGATAACCTTTCGGGATATAGACTATGCGTAGTATATAGGGTTCCAAAGACGCAAGACCAGCTTTCGTCTTGCTTGTACGTATCTTTCGAACAGTGGGGTGGCTTCTCAGCATACTCTTACACCACAGACTTCGACACCCTTGCCCTCAATACGAGCGGGACGACCAAAGTACAGGATTGACAATTCACGGATGAACAAAGCATCGGTATCGCTCCAGACGTCGAGGCCCATGCTTTCCACGGCGTGGCTATCTACGCGGATAGCATCGGCATCGTCGGGTTCGGGGTCAGAGTCTGATGGGCGAAGTGGTGCTCTTTCGCCCGAAGCTTGTGACAGACCCTCGTCATCATCGTCATGGTCAGTATATGGCTCATCTTGGCTGTCAGCTAAGTCAGCCAACACTGATAGTATTTGTGTGGTGAGACGGTGGAAATAAGCGATGATAGCAAGCTCAAATCTGGCTTCACCAGAACCATCAGGGGCACGATTGGCGGCGTTGAGAGACCCAAGTGAGTCTGATAATTGTCCCGATCGAGAACCTGGTCGTGGCATAGTCATAGAGGGTCCAAAATCGGCGAGCAGAGAGGCATCGTGAGCTGCCTCCTCTTGCTGTTCCTGACGCAATTGTTCGCCAGCGCTGGCCCACCACATGTAACCGTTGTAAGCAAAAGCTGCCCATGTCAGGGGTTCGACGACCTTTTCCACTGCGTCGTCTCGTGGGTCACGGACAATATGACTTGACTGGGTGGAAAATCTACGCGCAGAGCGCTCCTCTTCGGGAGACTCTGGGACAGCACTAGGGATCTGGCTAGCAGCTGCAATACGGGCAAGACCGTTCTTTAGAGTGGTAAAACGACGAAGATCTCGCTGGGTCGCTTTGATAGGCTGTCCGCGAGGGCATTCGACCACAGGCCAGACTCGCTCTGTGGCATTAGAGGAGTAGTCGGGAGGCAAAGTGACGAGCATATCCCAGAGTGTGTCCTTCATAGCGAGAATGCTGTCAGTGGTGCACGCAATCCAACCAGAGCCTGATTCGTCATCTATCGCGTCTTCGTCATTGCGAGGTCTCTTGGACGCCTCAAAGTCATCCATGAGGAAAGGTATATCATGAACACCAATGGAGAAAAGCGGTCTTAGACGCTGCGTTGAAGCTGATGCTGGAAGTATATCGGTGACAGATAGGGGAATATTGGAAAGAACAGAGAGGTTATATACTAGAAACATTAGTAAAAAGCTACTAGCTGGAGGGATATGACTTACCAAAATCACAAACTTCATGGACTGGTGCATGGCACGATATTAGAATACGCTTCCGCAGTAGAGCAGCGCGGTGTATGGGAAAGATGAGCGGACCAAACTTGTCCAGAAGGCTAGTCAAACTCCAGGCAGGGTGATATGGTGAGAGTTTGTTACCGGGCGGTATTAGAGAGGCGCCGTCGGAAGCTGATCGGTTGCGGCTGTGGGCTTTGCGGGGGAAAGGTGATGAGTTGAGAGACGGAGAGCTCACGGGGGTCTCTCCTGAGAGTCGACGATTGCCATTTCCAGACTTTTCGCGATTAGCAACCCAATATTCCTCGAGTATGCTAGTGTTTTTGCGATCCTCAGCCAGTTTCCTGCTCAACACGTCAGCCAAGTCCATTGCACATGGGGTAGATTGCGTACGCAGCCATCTCCTTGAGTCCTTCAGCATGCCTCCAAGCGCGCCCCAAACGACCATAACTCAGGGGGACTAGAACTCCGACGGCAAACATTCTCGCGTTCCGCGCCTCCTCCTCATCGCAGGGCATGTTAACAAAGGCGCTGAGTCCGGCATGGGCGCTGTCGTGAACGAAGTAGATGAGATCTTCGGAGACTGTGTGCAACCCGGAAGGAAGAGATTTGTATTCGACAAGACCTTCGAGGTCGATACCGGGAGCATTTTGTTTCCAAAGAATTGTATATCCGGCCTTGACGTCGAAGTGGATGAGGAAGAGAGCATCGATGGGAGGACGATCGAGAGGCTGGTTCGAAGGCATGCGGACGGAAAGGGACGGTTGTCCTCGGCGGGAGGAAGCCATGGCGATTGACTATCGAGATGCGCGCATCATATGCCTGGCTGAATGCTGGCAAAGGCGCAGGCGGACTGCGCTTAAATTGAGTTTAAGAGGGGAGAACAGAGTCAAGAGAGGAGATAGGCGAGCAAGCAGGCAAGTGACAAGCGAATTGAAGCGAGTTTCAAAAGTCGAGCCAGAGATTGTTACGGCTTGGACGGGACTGAAATGCAGTGACCGGGGCGGAAATCAAAAGCCAGCGATTCCTGCAATGGGATGAAAGAATCCAAGGAGAACGAGAGAATGAACGGTGATGATAGATCGTGGTGGAGTTGAGTTTGGTCTGGCTTACAGCGGGTTACATTAGGTGCCTACCTACCTGAACTACCTAGCTCGCTACCCTACCTTAGCTCCAGGTAGCTATCGCAACCCGGTAGAGTATCCGATAGGGCCCACGTGATACAGGCATGAATGGCAATGGCAATGCTATGCATGTTCAAGTTGATATACCCTGAGGTAGTGTAAGATTTTACCTCGACAGGACGCATACTATTATAGAAAGAAAGCGTTTTCTGTCAGTTTTGTGTCTCAGACTCAGATGGTACTGTACTACACGGAAGGGAGCCATGAAGAAGGGTGTGGTCGGACAATCCCGTGATCAAAGCCAAGACAGCTGTTTTGTGACTTTATATAATGGATCTATTTTACATTGTTAGAGTGGCTGTTTGCAACTGAGGGGTGTTGATGCCTGGCAATTGACTGTGGAACAAGTATTCGAATGAACAAGTCTGGCTGTTCTAGGCTGCCACATACTCTACATAGAGCTGACATATTGCTCCGTGTAGTTCAATTGTATCAAGTACGCCAAATGATAGAATACTTCAGAATACTTAGGGAGGTACCCAAAATAGGGGCTCTTTTAAAGGAGAGGTATTGTAAAGGCAGTAATGCAGCATTGAAATGATACTGAATTGAATGAGAGTAACAACCAACTTGTTCTTATACTCAAATGGTATAGAACATGATCTCGGAGCGTAGGAGGACTCGGGGGTCTGAAAGTCCACCGAGTTCATCTTTCATCATCATAAGATATTTAGATCTAGTGTTTTCGCCATATCATTTAATTCTTTAGATGGCGTGAGTTATAGATACCTAAGTAGGTATCCCCAACTGTTATGGTCCCAGCCGGATATAAGTTAGCTAACACCCATACAAACCGCTGAGTCAGGCACTGACCCATGCCATCCTCGGTGCCGACTTTCACAAGCCATAAAAACGAACACCCTGTACCTAGGTGCCTGTGACATCACCCAACCAATGACAACCTCCCAATCAAAGACGTTCCCGTCCCGTGTCAACGGCTGTTGAAGAGCATCCATGAAACTACCTAATTAACAACTCAGGTGCCTCTGTAGGAGTGAATGTGATCGGTCTGATTACCTATATCTGTACATTAATCCCTCATCCTCTATATAGATCAATACTGTAAATCTAGTCAGTGTTTAGTCCAAGGCATGGAAAGAGAAGGAAGAAGAGACAGAAAAAAAAAGACCCCGCCATCCATCGCTAGAATTGACACTTTTATCGAATCCACTCAACAAACCAACCCCCGCCAAACCAAACCAAACCCAAGTCCATACCCATACCCATACCCATACAGTACAATCCACCAAATATCCATAACCCAGCTGACCTACCCGTAGTCTTTAACCTACCTATAAACTCTACTTCTCCTCTACTGACTGGTGTCTGTCTCGCCTTGTCTCATCACCTCCTCAAGCAGAATCCGCCGTCGCCCATCATGTCCATCTCCAACATCCTCCTCTACTTCCTCCTCGGCTACGCCGCCCTAACAATCTTCTTCTACGCCATGTCCCTCGTCGTTCCAAAAGCCGCCTTCGCCGCCCGCGGCCTCGCCTCCTACATCTCTCTCCTCGCCGTCGCAGCCTACGGAGTCCTCGCCTCCATCTTCCTCACCATCGTAGGAAAGCAGCAGATCGCACAATGGGCTGTCGGCCGCTGCTTTCACCATGTTATGCGCTACACCACCGGCGTCGAGTTCGTCGTCGAGGACCCCGATAATGTCCTCGGCACTACGCGCCCGGCTATCTTTATCGGAAACCACCAGACTGAACTCGATGTTCTCATGCTCGGAATCGTGTTCCCCAAGTACTGCAGTGTTACTGCTAAGGCTTCGCTGAAGAAGGTGCCTTTCCTCGGCTGGTTCATGTCGCTGAGCGGTTCCATTTTCATCGATCGCAAGAACAGCAAGGATGCCCGCGAGGCCATGAAGGGCGCTGCCAGCGAGATTCAGTCCAAGCGACAGAGCGTCTACATGTTCCCCGAGGGTACTCGAAGTTACGCCAAGGAGCCCATGCTGTTGCCTTTCAAGAAGGGTGCTTTCCACCTTGCTGTCCAGGCCGGCGTGCCCATTGTTCCCTGCGTTGTCGCGAACTACAGTCATATCATGCACCCCAAGACTCTCACCTTCAAATCTGGAAAGATCCCCGTCAAGGGTGCGTATAAACCCTCTGTTCACCTGCCCCAAGTATCTAACTGTATGCAGTTCTCAAGCCCATTCCCACCAAGAACCTGACCGCCGCAGACGTTGACGAGCTTACCCGCACGACACGGGAACTCATGCTCAACGAACTCGTCACTCTCACAGAAAAGGCCCGCGGCCAACCCATGGCTGTCCCAGCTTCGCTTGACTCAACAACTGGCAAGAGCTCAGCCATCGATACAAATGGCTCGGCGCACTAAGCGCATCTCACAAAACAAAAAGAAAATATTGAAGAGGAGGGGGAGGAAGACTGGGTAGGATAGGGATAAGGAGTTTGCCATACGGGGAGTCACGTCGGATGCAAAGACTTGAGGCAGCCTTTTGATACCCCCATAGACGCATGCATGAGGCGGCTTGTGCTCGTTAGGTTTACGGGCTTGAGCTCAGCTCGAATGTTTTTATTTACTGTTTCTGCTTTTCGTTACTGGAGCTTGCTTGCTGGCGGATTTGCGCTTGTTTGTTTTACCTAGGATCATGAGGCGGGCTCACAAGATGTTTCCGGAATTTAGTCGCATGACGGAATGAACAGACGTATATACGTTACATATGCATATGTCGATCACTCCCCCGAAGTGTCACGGGAATTCACACGCATACAGATCTGTATGTAACTTGTACACTTTTCGTGTTTCATTCGGTATCGTCTATCATCATCTGCACGCCAAAACCGGAGGATCAGAAACGAGATTCAACTCCAAGATCGCCAGACCTGACCTGCCCTTATATTCCGCCATGCTCCAAGGCCAACCAATTACAAGGAAATATCGCTACACTAAAAACCACACAAGAAATCGATGAAGCCCAGCTTTTGTATATAGCAAATGCACCAACAGGCTTACTCTCTAAGCGCCTGCAGTGCTTGCGTCAGTGATACGACCCTCAGACTCCGGCCCCGTCTTGGTGTTCCCATAGCAGCCGAGCTAGTATGTGTTGCTGTAGGGCTCAAGTCATCTCGCCAGAAACGGAAGATACGCTTCAGATCCCGAGGAATACCTTCTAATACGACTGTTGAGATGGGTACAAAAGGACGGTCCTCCATGCCCGCGGCAAGGATGGCATATTCTTGAGCAAAGTCGAGAGCGTTGCGGAAAGACGAGTATTGCGATTGAGCACGGGCGCCAACAATGATGTACATCTCAAAAAATGCGTCAAGAACATAGATGTGCTCAGGAGAAAGGTCATGCTGGTTGAAGGGAGCGATCTCAAAAACCTGGTGCTCATTAGTACGCCGACAGCTTGAGCCAGTGTGAATCAACATACCTGTTGCCGTGTGTCTGCATCTGAGCAGAAGAGTCTGCTGCAGTACTTGGCATAGTTGGGCTTGAGCCTCCAATGATCAGCCGAGTGAGGCTTTGTTCCGCTCTCAAAAAGTTTCCAAAACGACTCAGACTCATCGCCATCGTCGGCTTCGATCAATTCTCCAGTGAGTGTAAGCTCAATGGCGATAAGTTTCGCCGCACTTAGCTCTGTGACATCGCATCCTCGTCCCTTCCAGATATAGGCCTTACCCTGACTGGTGAGAACATAGACGAATCCTGCGCAGAGACTCGATGGGCTGAAATCACACTCATCGAAAGCGACCTGGCCCTGATAGCGCCGGCCGCAGAGCATGTTGGGTGCCAGTGAGTCGTACTTGTTGCTTGAGCCGCGTCTAATCAAAACAACTCCACCAAGAGCTTGCAAGAATTCCGTTGTCTCCTTGCCTTGCTGCATCTTGACAAGCTTACCGCCCAACGCCTTGGCTTCTTTCTGGACGAAAAGAAGGGCATCGTCAGCAGCCGACTCAGGAACCTGGTCACCAACCCAGAAATAGATCTCTAGGCGCTTCCAGCCAGCCTCGTTTGTAAAGCTGTGGGGAGCAATGTACATCTCTCTCTCAAACAATGTGCGCTCGTTGTGAGCCGAAACAGGTGTCTTCTTGCCCTCTGCGGATATTTGGAACACCTGGAAGCTGAGACTTTGGATCTTCAGGGGGCCTGTTGGTGGTCGGTTTGCAAGAAGCTCTGCGGCATCTACCTTGTACTCAGACCTTGAAGGCTTTGGCCCAAAGAAGTCTGTCAATAGACTAGCAACATCATTGCCCTGGCTTGGGGTCTTTGGTGGTGCGGCCGAAGCTGTTTGTTGAGGCTTGGGGGTCTGCGGGGCTTGAGGAGTCTGTGGTTCCTTAGAAGGGGGCGTTGGCAAGGGACGGGTGGCCGCTCGAGATGGAGTCTTGTTGATTTGTAGAGGAGAAGATCGTCCAGGGTCAGGAAGGGGGCGAGGAGAAGCTCTTGGTGGTGTCTGTGCTGCTGAGGCTTCTGTTCTCTCCCGAGAGGGCTTCGCTGCCAAAGGTGGGGGTTGAGCAGCACCGCCAAACATGGCCCTCGCGTTCTTTAGAGAGACAACAGGGTCACTATCAACCTTTGTTGGGGACGAGGGCTCAGGCTCAGGCAGTGACCTTTGGAACATCTTAACAGGAGACCGAGAGCCTGTTCGCTGATGTGTCAGGCGGATTGGCTCCTTCGCAGGTTCTGGCGTGCCGTTTGATGACGGGCGATCCATGAATCGAGACATGCGGTTGTTGTCAAGTTTCTTAGGTGAGCCAGGCTGTGAAGAGGCGTCACCGGTCTTTTGGATCCTTAGTGGTGAGGGATAATCACTTGGAAGGAATTCACTCTTGGGAGTCTGTCTGGACGAGAACGAGGATGTCTGCGCATCACGATTCTGGAATCGTCGAGGTTCATCCTCTTGAGGCTTGATAGGCGTGGGCTTTGTGGGTGTAGGCTTTCCTCGTATGGCAGCTTTGGCAGCAACTTGCTGTTGAATAGAAAGGGGGGCAGTGGTTGACTCCTCCACCTTCTGGGCAGGAGGTGTCTGTTCTGCTAGCTTCTCCCTGGCAGGTTCAACGGGTTTCGGTGCAGCAGGTTTGGGCTTTTCTTGAACAGGTTTTGCTTCAGCTGCTGGTGCTGCAGAGACTGCTTTAGGGGCAGCTGAAGTCGGGGCCTTTCTTCTGGGACCTCGTGCTCGACCCTTAGTCATATGTGTCAGCTGCGGGCCCGGAGCAGAAGGTTCTGTAACTGTTTCGGAGGAAGCTCCCTTTGAATCAGACTCATCTGAGGTCTTTCCCCCGTTAGCGGCCATGGGTGGCGGTCCTCGTGCAAGCATGCCGGCAAGGGCCGGGTTGAACCGTCCAGCGAGCTTACCTCCTACACGTCCCTGTAGTCTAGCAGGTGAGCTCGTTTCCTTGTGCAGGCCTGGCAAGGCCCGCGGTTCCTCCGGTTTCGCGCTAGATTCGGTAACTACTCGCTTTAGACCCTCGTCAGCGGGTTCTGGGGCGGATTCAGGAGCGGGCTTGGGCGAAGAAAGGGTCTGGCTGGGTATCCTCTTAGGGCCTGGTGTCGGCTTGGGCGAACTTGGCTTACTCGGTGTAGATGGTGACTTCAGTTCAGCCATAGACTTTCTCTTTGCCATCTCAGCCCTTCTGGCAAGGCCCTCTGGTAGTGGCGAATCGTTCGTGGGAGTGCTGCTCCTTGAGATACCCTTACCCTCGACCTGTGCTTTCTTAAAGTCATCCTTCTTCTTCAGAATAGCCTCCTTGAATTCATCCACTCTCTCTGTCTTCTTTGGGCCACCTGTCTGGCTGAGGGAAGCTTTGCCCTTAAGAATGTTATCTTTCAGCTCATCAGGAGCCACATAGTTCTGTGTCTTGGTTCTGCGAAGAGTGCCAAAGACGTTCTTGAACTCAGGTTCTTGGGCCTTGGGCGCTTCTGACCCTGTTGGTCGATGCCTCAAGGAACTGCGGAAGTCCTTCTTTGGGGGTGTCTCGGGCTTAGGTTTAGGCACAGGCGCGAAGGGTTTTACTTCTCTGGGGCTTATGACCGGCTCATCCTTGGCAGGCCCTGACGCCTTCTTCTCCTCTTCGGTGAGTTCAGGGTCCGGGACTGGCTCAGGATCAGGGGCGGGTTCAGCCTCAACCTTGGCAGCCTTGTCCTCAGTTGGAGTTCCAGGCTCAAGCTTAGGGGCACTCTTAGAAATGCTCAAACTGGCACCGTGGTTGTAGGGCCGGTTACCACCAGGTGGAGGAGAGTAGATGCCACCAAGGCCAGTAGTATTGGTCTTTGTAGCAGTTCCCATAGGCGTAGACCTCATAAGTCCTCCGATACTAACTTGGTGCTTATGAGAAATAGACCCTGGGCGAGGCCGTGTAGTTCCTTCAGCGCCGGGAACACCTCCCTTGTTCTTGTTCAGCTCTGCCATCCAAGCTGGCTGGGATGAACTCGATTTGTGGTGAGTCTTGGGTGACTCGGGTGGCTTATTCAAAGCACTCTCAAGCCAACTTGACTTAGTAGGGCTCCACCTTCGAGGATCCATAGTCTTGGAAGGGCTGGTAGGAATTGGTGCTCCCTCCATGGCAGTGTCGATTGTTGGGGCTTTTGGTGTAACCTCGTTATCAGACTCTCCATGTCGAGATGTTGGCCGGCTCGAGTTTGGAGTTGTTGATTCAGGCCGTCCCTTGCTCTGGGGTCGCGCATTTACAGACAGACCGCCCCCTTGGCTCGACTGGATCGAATTGGCGCGGTTCAGACCAGGAGGGCTCGTAACGCTCCATCGCTTAACGCTATCTGATCTCTTCATCATGGCACTCTGGACAAATCCGCCCATACCCTTGGTGGGCGAATTGGATCGCGAATTGGATCGAGTAGGAGATACACGCCCTGGCATGCTTCCGAAGCGGTCTCCCACAGACTTGTCCTCACCGGCGTCAAAGGCTGGAGGATTCAGCGTTGGAGGACTTGCCAACCTCATCTTAGTAGGAGTAGCAGGTTCCTTAGCAGTCTCCTTGACGGGTTCCTCAGCAGGTGGGCTAGGCTTCGGTTGTGTGGCTGTCATGCCTGGTAATTGCGCCTTGACAGAAGCCATGTCCAACCGATCCGTGTCCTCGACTTGGTTCTTTCGATAAGCAGCTGAGTTAGCCCCACGGTCGGCTGTCTGGCGAAACCATGAGGGGTCTTTGGATCCAAGGGCATTGGCAATCTGGTCCTTCGAGAAAGTCTGCTCAGTGGCTGAAGCTGGAGCCGGGGAAGACTCCTGCGACCCAATGAACGACCGCTGGGTCGCATTTTGGGTTGCGAGCATGCTCAACGGGCGTGCAGAGCCGCTGCGGGAGTTAGGTCGCCGCTGCCATGATAATGTAGAGTAACGGGTGGGTGTAGTCGCGGGCTTGGTATCGACATCAATAGGAGACTCGTTCTCCTTGGTCGGAGAAGAGCTGACATCCATTGGAGCTTCGGCCTTTGCTTCAGGCTCAGATGATGGCGAGGCAGCGTCGTCCTTGGACACACCGGGGGAGTCGAGCCTCAATGCCTCGGATAAATGAACGCTACGACGACTCGAACGTGGCGAGGGAGTGTTTGCAGGGGAGGACTTTTGTGGTGAGATTGATCGTGCACGTTCTGTCAGTGGTGATTGTGGTTAGCAAGAGGACACCATCGGTGATTATGTGATTTCAGCATCAATGCATCCCAAAGCCAAGACCAAACCATGAGTAAGCCAGTAAAATAAGAATACAACAAGGGAAAGTAAACAACAGATGTACGACGGAGGATGTTGCCCTGGAAATTAGAATAGGGAAAGCCATCAATGCAAGCAACAAAGCCTCTCGGGTGGGAGTCAAGCTGCAAGCAACAATGGACGCCCAAGCTCCCTCTCTCTTTTTCTTTCTTTGTTTTTTTGGTTATTTTCTCACCTTCACGACGGGCTTGTCTTTCTCGCTTGGCAGCCAAGTATTCTTCAAGCTCACGAGCTCTCGTTTCGTCTTCTTCGATCTGTTGACCACGCAGGCGCTCGACCTGCTCGAGAAATTGGGAGACTTCGTCGGACATGGCTCTGGGGCCTTTGGGACATGACACGGAAGGGGGTGGGTGTTTTAGAAGAAAGACGGCGCAGCGTGGGCCCTTGGCTTTGATGGATAACACACACAGTAAGCGCGAGCAGGAAAATACACAATGCAATCCTACGCACAAGGTTGCAGCAGGTGTTATAGACTGCCTTCTGCTATCTCCCAAGAGTCTAACGTAGCCTTGAGATGTGGTGCTTGTGGGAAGTTGATAATGGGTCGCTCGACTGGGATGGGATCATGTCTGCTAGCTGCAGTGGAAATTTCACATGGCGCTTCTGAGGCCTTATTGGTTCATGGCCGTCCCCCGGTGTGTCTGTCTCTAAAACCCGCTATGAGAGGGGGCCGCTGTAGCGCCCATGCAACCCGAAGTCTCAGGGGCAATCGTTCCCGCTCGCTAGGGGGGGAGGGACTGCTTGACAGATTCCGGCCCAAATGCGGCCATCAACGGACGGGATTGTCTTTAATCTTGGTGCATATCAGAGCTCGATCTCATGCAAAAATATGCATGAACCTCGTCTCATCACTTGCATGATGCAGAATCGGGAGCGATGAAGATTCAATTGATATGTTAGGCAACCTAACTCAGCCTCACCCAACTCACATGCTGTGTTCCTATGGATGCGCTATAAACAAAAGACCAAGGGAAAACGTCATCCTTTGTTTACTTTCAACTCTTCCCCACGGGTGATCCACTACAACAACAAACCCAAACCATGGCTTGAATCCGTTAAACCTTGTCACATCTTGGTTCGTCTACCAAGTGAGCAGTACGTATCTTGCTCTTCTCATACCTCGGACCACACAAGCAGGTTATCTCAGATTTCTCGATCGACAATACGACCTTGTAAGGTTAGCACAAGCTGCACGCGGCACTTGTTGATGCTCTCCCGCTCCCCTGCGCTTCGCTAGACGAGGCCTGTAAAGATGGCGTGCTGGAGAGCTTTGCGGGACGTTTTACGTTGCCCGGTGTAACGAGTTTATTATATCGGGTTTCAACGTTTAAGCTAGCTGACTTTCTTATGCATATCCGCGCTATTCGGCTGGTTGCTTGCTTCCCAAGTCTCGCGGCTATCCACACTCTGTGGTTTGTTTGTTGCTTTTGCAAAAGGACTTCCTGTTGTGAGGCCAACAGGAACTATTCAGTTGAGCCAGTCTCGTTTAGTAGAGGAATAGTCGCTTCTTTGCATCCTCCACCACCCATGATAGTCCTTCTTTAAGGTTGGTTCCAGTCATGGCGCTGCATGGCAGGATGTGCCATCGATGTGTCCGTATCGATTCCAGTTGTAGCTCCTAAATATCATAGTGAGCTTGGTTGGTCATGTTCACATGGCATGGCATGGCGTGACGTGACGTGAACATACTGAGAGAATCTCTTCTTCCGTCATACATCCCTCAACATCTGTTTTGTTGGCAAAAACAAGCAGACTTGCCCCTGCAAGACGCTGTACCACTTGTCAGTAGCTATCCGACCGTTGCCGTGTCATATCACGCACCTCTTCTAAGAGTAAACCTTGAAGCTCGTCTCTGCAGTCTTGGATACGTAAACGGTCCGTTGCGTCGACAACCCAGATCAAAGCATCTGTCTTTTCAAAATAGTTTCTCCAGTATGAGCGCAACGTTTTCTGCCCACCCACGTCCCCTTGGGGAGTCAGCTCATCTCATCGACTGGGCATGCCTACTTGGGTCACACACATATGTTCAATTTGTACCTATAAGGCCTGTCAGCGGTGTTATACGACGAACGAAGTCCTTCTTACCCCTCGTAGTCAATCGTCTTGATGATGAAACCTAATGTTGGGCTTACGGTGTTGACATCCTCTCCCATGACCTTCTTGACGATTGTGGTCTTTCCAGCATTATCCAATCCGCTAAGGATAGTTAGTCAAAATTCTAAATGGAGCAGGTCGTGGACAATACTCACAGCATCAGGATTCGCATTTCTTTGTCCTTGAGCCGCGCTTTTCGCAGGATTGACAACATTTTGATTCACGAGTAGTGTGTATCGAATTAACTCGAGAGTTAGACAAGCAAAGGTACTTCCACTTGGTTCTTGAGCAGTTTTGTCGGTTATTTGGTCTTCAAAGGATTTCTTTCTTCATCACCAAACTATGAAGGTAGTTGAATTCATTTACCTGCGGCTCTCATGACTCCACGTGATTGGTGTTCGCTTGATCTCCTTCACCCCCTCCAACTTTATCACTCCCGTCTGGTATGCTATGCCTCAACCGCCACTATTAATGGATAATCTACAACATCTGAAAACCATGGACGTTATGAATCCTATCGACATCCCGTCTTTACATACGCTACTTTACATGCCCATACGGTCGAACTTGGCCCAAACATTCCCTACCATGCAACTACCACAGCAATAAACAGCCAAAACTCCTGTCAATAGCCGGGCTCTTGTACATCAATGCCTCTCTTCCTCCACCATTTCTGAAGCTGGGCGTGCCTCATGTTCCCATACAACTAGGTCTTTCCAGACGCCTGGGTTTTTGCCATGCTTCACAGCTTCCTTGAAATTCGCAACCTTGGCAAAATCGTACTTCTCGAGCAGACCAGTCGTCCACTCGATTCGAGAATCATCCTCGCCATCAAAGAATGTCTCCAAGTACAGCTTGCTGTACTTTCGTTCATTGTGTGCAGGAATCTCTTCGTACGTCTTTCGGGGCTCCGAGCACTTCCAGTTGTAGTCCACAAGACTACGATGGTAGATAGATGTGGACAACAAAATTCTGTCCAGCAGTGCCGACCCGACTAGCATTCGTCGATGCTCTGGGTCAACGACGAGCTTGATTTTCCCAGAGAACCTGGCTCCCTGACATGCGTGGCCTAGAAAGTCCTGTCGAGAATCATCGACAAAGGCAAAGCCAAGGATGGTTGGACTCTCTGACACTCCATGAGATTTCATGATTCCAATGAGCTTCTGATAGCGCTTTTCATCACCCTTAGACCATCCAGAACGGCCGACTATCTCGCAAGAAGATTCAACCGCCACAATGAATGGGCGGCGCTTCGATGTGCAAGCGTTGTAGAGTTCTGCAATTTGTGCACTGTCAACTTTGGGTAGGTAGACCTGCGAATCTTCTCGCTGCATCTCATTATTGACGATGTTTGCGATGCCCTGGAAATCCTCAGGCTGGACGGGCCGAAGAGTGCAGTCTGCATCGGGCCACTTGTCTTCCTCCTGCGTAATGTTGGCATACTTCTGTTCTTCTTTCCTACGCTCAATCTCTTCCTTTTTCGATTTACGTATATCCAGCTCGCGGGCGATGTAGCCTTCAGAATTGGTCACTGCGCGGCGCCAGTTGTGCCTGGCTTGGGTGTCTTTCTGAATCTTAATGTATCGCGGGGGAGGGATCAGCCCACCTGTCGCCGGATCGATGTCGCAATCATCCACCCGACGGTGACGGTTTGCGGCAAGGTTGACGATGGGATACTTGTCTTGTTGTGTCTCCCACTTCTCCACGGCTGTCAATAAATTCTGATTGACCTGGACAAGGGCCAGATCATCATCGCTTTCGTGATCATGTAGTCCAGGACTATCCCATGCGGCCATTTCATCTGAAGGCAGCGGACCAGCACTCAGCGCCATGGAGGCGGTGCTTAAGGATCGTTGTCGGAGAACGAGAGCGGTTGAAGGTGTAACAGCTTGGATGATATGCAATGGTGCTGGCAAAGGAGCACCTTCAAATTCCGACGAGTTGTTACCGATTGACTGCTCCTTAGGTGAGTTCCAAGTGCCCACGGAGCTGTCCTCGAAGTCTTCGGTCCCTTCGGAATCAACAATTTCAGGTGATTGGTGAAAGGGTGCGCGAACAACTTCCTGCACAGGCGTTTGGTACGGAGCAGGAGAAGAATACACGACATTTTTGGAAAGCCTTTGATGTGGAGGAATACGAACTGCCTCGTTCGTATTTTCTTGGAGAGGAAGGGGAGAGCGAAGTCCCTTCTGTCTATTCCAGTAGCTCTGCTGGATAGGAGTTGTATGTCCATTACTCGATGTCCCTTGCGATCCGAGGAATCGCTGTGTAACGGCGCCCGCAGGCAGGAGCTGCTGATTTTGGGTTTGAATCCCAACGAGTTTTCCCATGCCTTGGATGCGCTGCAGCGAGTTATTGAGGTTTGGAGAAGGCGTGCTGCCTCCGCCGCCCCGGCTGCTGGGGGCCCACGACATGGCTTACAAAGTCAGCTTTCCATTGTTAGTTCTTGCGGATGATGTTAGAATGAAGCAAATGAAGGCGAACCTGTATAAAGGCTACACAAGCGGGTGTACTACTAGAAACACGGCGATGTGTAGAAACAGCGGTGCAAACAGTGGCGCGAAGGACGGTGACGGGACAACAGAGTTCGAAAAGTGATAGGAAGGGAAATAATATGGAGGAAGAGAGTAGTGAGAGAATGCCAACGATCTCCTCGGCTAGGCGACTAAATGTTGGGGCTTGGTAGTGATGAAGAGGAGAAACTCGATCTTTTGTTTGTTGCGATGGAGAGGAGAGATGAAGGCGAGTGGCCTAAGGTTAGATAAGGCAAGGCAAGGTAAGGTACTGTGTGAAGAAGAGAAGCACGCGGTCGGCTCTTGCCTAGCAACGACGGGAGAGTTGAGGAAAATAACGAGAGGCCACTGGCACTTGTCAACAGTGGCAGATTACAGTACTGACCTCCACTAAGGTAAGGCACCTTATGTGCGAATACTTAGTACAAGTCGAGTCCGAATACGGTGATATATCAAGGGCTACGGCAGGCCAAGGGACGAGTCAATACTCAGAGCAAACCACGGCTAAGTGCATATTATCATCGAGATCAACATCATTGTCTGTGGTTCAAGACGAATAAGGCCCGTGACTACCGGGGCTCGGGTGTGACAAGTTAGCATTCAAGAGATGAGCAATATATCAACGAACGAATCTAATAAACAAAGGGATTTATATTTGCAGAGCTCTGCCATGCGTATCCTATAAGTTTGTTTCCCAGGGTATATCCGAACTAACAACAAGACATCAACCCCATACTCCATGGAAATCATCAACTCCAACTACTCCTCATCACTGTCCTCCATCAGTCGTCTATTCTCCAGCACTTGATCCAACAGACTCTTTTTGGGCTTGCTCTGAGTCGACATACGTGATGTTCGACGGCTCGTCACGCCGCCAGGAGCCAATGAACCCACATTCTCTTGCGAGCGTCTAAACCCAGGGTGCGAAGAGTAAATGCTCGACGCTGCAATTGACGGAGCGGCCGAAACTCGTTTCTTACCGCCCAGTGCTGGCCGAGGTGTTGACGGCTCTCCATCTATAGATGGGATACCCGTCTTGAATCCGTGTTTCCGACAAAAATCTATATGTGCTTGGTGTTCAGCGTATGCGGTAGACTCTCGAGCACCTCCATTGGTCGGCTCTACAGTGTTTCGACGAGATGCCACCCCTGCAGCACTCTCCGGGAGTGAAAACACCGAGACAGGCACCCACTCAGTTTCCGTAGGGCTATCACCGGCAGTGGTATCCGGAGGGGTTAGTCCTCTGTTGAAGCTGAGAGGAGGTGGCATGGCACTTGGGTTACTGTATACAGATGATGTTTCCAACTGCTCATCTGGCACGATGCTTTCTCTATTTCCATTATAAGCAGAGTCTCTTTGTTGATTTGACATAACGCTCTGTCTCGTAAGAGTAGCGGTCGAGTCTCTCCTGTGCTGCTCAGGTGCAAAGTCCCTCTGTAGTCGATCATCAAGAGACATGTTCCTAACACTCTCTGCATAGTCGCTGAAGGCGGGATGCACATCGTCCTCAAAGAGTTGTCTTCGTTCATCAGCCGTGAGTCCTCGCTGTTGCATCTGGCAATCCATCCATAGCGACGCTTGGTAGTCCACGTCTTCATCCATCCAATTTTGCTCGTCCGCATGGAACTGAGCACTCGACTGACTAGATCTTGATTCCGGAGGAAGAAACGTGCTTCTATCCTCCTGGCTGTGTTTGCTGTAGCTTGGTCGAGACGGCTGCTCATGAAATGATTGCCGAGTACGAGCACGGCCGCGGTTACCGTCTTCTTCATACGCTCTATATGGATGGCCGTATACTGATCGAGATGAAGATCGAGATATATGAGATTCTGGGCGTTCCTCTCTCAGGTAGTTGATGGTATTGATCAGATTGGTAAGCTCTTCGCTAATCTCGGCACTTCCAGTGTAGATAGCCCTACGACTATTTACATGCTGGTGTGATATCCAAGACTCAATAAGTCGGAGAAGTCTTGGTTCTCTACCACCTTGCTCGATGTGGCGATCCCTTCGCGTGGTCAATGTCGCTCGCAGATCGCTCAGCACCTGAGGTCTACCACCAATGACCGACATGATGCAAGCTTCGCACTTGCTTTTGACCACGAGTTTTGTGGGCGAAACACGTTCGTAGCCAAAGGTGGCATTGAAAGCTTTACGACCGATCCAAAGTCCAGTTACGGCATCGATGCGATCCAGCCATGCAATAACAGCATTGGGATAAGCGATACGCTGTCGCCAAGTGCGCAGAGTCTGGATACGCTCAGTACATTCGGCGATGATCAAGAGCATAAGTCGCCGGATCAGCTTAGGATCAAGGCCATGATGAGCTGCGCACAGACATGCTGTTGGCGAACCGTCGGCACCAAGTCTATAAGACAGGCTCTCAAGTTTGGCAGACAGACGGGCCAAGAGTTTGGTGGAACGACGGTTTGACTTGTCGAGGTTAGCTACACGAGCTTGCTGGTCAAGCAACCACTCTTTATCCGGCACAGCTATGTTGACTCCTGGATCCATCCACAACAGGTCCGTGAGTTGGTCAAGCTGATGATTTGATATATCAGGCAGTGGGATATACCTCATCTCCTCATCAGGATCGTGAAGTGTACGATGGGGAACCATTATGAATACTATGAGATTTGTTCTTAATAGAAGACAAGAACTTCAACACAAGACTGCCGCATCAATTTGCTCGATAGATTTGTTC